TATAGTGCGGTAATAGTGTGGTTTGTCATTCAAAGAAAAAAAATGGAATCATAGAGGATGAATCAGTTTGTAAATTTAGAACTGTTTGTTTCCTTTCTACCATTCTACATATGCAGCCAGTCTGTTTTTCACTCTCTCAATAAAACAGCAAATTGCTGTGCATAAAAGCCACTGGGCTACACATTAGCATCTAAGAAAAAATGTGTCCAGTTGCTTTGATTTATAACACAGGGGTCAGACACCTTCACCCTCTAAGGCATCTGACCTGCACTAGACCAGTTACAGGCTGAATGGCATGCTCTTCCCCTTCTTTTGGCCATTAACGCTGTTACTAAATGCATAGCATTATTTTCCCACTTTGTAATAAAACAGTACAAAATGATGTTTACATTAGCATCATCCTTTGTTTTGGGTAAAGAACTTCCCCTTTTAAATTTAATTGACTTCTGTGTCCAACATTTAAAAATGAGTCAGTTTTGTTATTTTTATCTTTGGAAAGCAAAAAATAGTAATTTGTTAATGCTCTGACATTGTAATTCACCAGCTTTATCACCATCTTTTACTCTCAGGGCCATTAGCTGGATGCAACTCCTTTCTCTATTTTTCTTCATTTGTTTCATTTATTACTTTTCTAGACTGCCAACAGCTGACGCTCTCTGGGTCATTTCTTTGTTATGTGCTGTCAACAAGCCTTCGCCTTTTGGAAACCCTATGAATGAACGCCCTCCAAAATGTCTTCTTTTTGACAGTTCTGCTCAGCTCTTGTAAACTCTCTGGCTGGTTTATAAAAAACTAAAGTCTTACAGATACATTTTTAAAATGAGATACATACAAACACATAAATGTACAACACACGGGGAGACATGTGTATTTCTAAAAACTATTCTGAACACCAACAAGAAAATAACTCAGGACATGAATAAAAATTTCATCATATGCTCAAGAGAAGAAGTAAGTCTTGATTTGGGACTGAAAAGATAATAACGTTGGTGCCAGGAAGGTCATCTCAGGAAAACCGTTCTGTAATGGGGAGGAGGCACCAGCTAGAAGGCCGCTCCCTTGTTGCTACTTTCTGAGACTCCCTTGGCAGAGGGCCTTAGATAATGAGCATAGTGTATGGGAGGTTCTGGCAAGGAGAGGCATTTCATCAGGTAAGGCTTGAGCCATATAAGGCTTTATTTATTTATTTATTTATTTATTTATTTATTTATTTATTAAAACATTTTTATGCCGCCCCATTCGCCGAAGCCTCGGGGCGGCTCACATCATCAAGTTAAAATAATTATAATATAAATTCAAAATATAAATATAAAATTAAAATACAACAATACAGTATAAAATAAGCCGCCCTGGCCAAATAAAACCAATAATGTTAACAGTTTATACCTTATTATTGTATTATTATTGTATTTATAGATTTCAATATATATAGCCGAGATGGTACCAGTTTTTAAATTATTGATTGTATTTTTATGTTTATTTTATGAATGTTGTAAGCCGCCCCGAGGCTTTGTTGCAATGGGGGCGGAATAGAAATGTTTTAAATAAATAAATAAAAATACCTCAATAGCATCAGCATGCATCAGGTTTGGAAGCATACAGGAAGTGAGGGTAAACAGGCCAGAGTCGGTGTTATATGTTCAGACCTTTCGGTTGCAACTGAAACTGTGGCAGGTGCTTTCTTCCTCTGGGACCACCTGAGCCTCGAGTGACAAAGATGGCTCTGGAACAACCCCCAAGTTATGAGCTCACCCTTTCAGGTAGAAGGCAGCCCCATCCAAAACAGGTCGATCCCCGCTCCATCAGGTCAGAGGAACCATTCAGTAATAGTGCCTTGGTCCTCTCTCAATTGCATCTCAGTTTATCAGCCCTCCTCCTGTCCATTATCATAGCCAGGCACCAGCCTTGCACATCTATAGCTTAATTTGATGAAGATGAAAAAGAGAAATAGAGAGATACTGAATACTGATGCCAATGCACTTAAAAACCAGATGACTGCACTCAGCTGTATCCTGCAGAAGTTAAATAGCAAGGAAGACCAGGACCCTTCTTCACTGTTTTCATCACTGAATGGAAATTGTGGATGAGATGATACTGGGATGTTGCAGCAAAGAGAATGCAAAGCTGGTTTGGCAATAATAATAATAATAATAATAATAATAATAATAATAATAATAATAATACAGAGCCTAAGTACAGTAGAAATAGTCTGCTTCAGGGATCCTAGCTCTGTGTCCCATATAATAGACAACTGGGGAAACGGGGAAGGACAGGAAGTACTATATGCTTTGGGTGGATGAGGCAGATTGAGCAATGAGGTATCAAAAAATAAATGCATAGACCCATTTTAGTTATAATGACAAACCATGGCTTGTATGCACTGCAGCAGTCTCCGTGTATCCATGGAAGTTAGATACTTTCATTTGCAGTTTTATGTTTCCTCTAATTTCCTGTATTTGTGCAAGCCTTTGTTTATTCTACAAAACATAATATATTTTGCAGCAACCATACTTTCTCATATTGCTTTGCAACCGATCCCACCCCGACACCAGCGGACAGGAGGAGAAAAAGTAGGGGAAATGTGCAAGCTCAGTACTGGCTGTTAGTACTGACTAGGGGTGATAGGAGTTGCAGGTCAAAACATCTGGAGGGCTACAAGTTTCCCACTCTTGGTTTCATATGGCTGGTTCATGAGAAAACCTATGACAATCAAGCATGCTTAAGGTTCCAACACCATAACACCCCAGGTTTCTGCTTGTTATAAGATAAGCAAAGAGTCAGGTGGGGTAATTCAGAGAAATGAAAGAAGAAATAAAAAGCAAAAAATTGCAAACAAAGCAAAACAAAAACCCCCAGCAAAAAATTTGAATACAGAATTATTCAGCGAATCAGTCTGGCAGAAGTAATAGCGGCATGGAACAAGAAACTATTAACAATGGGAATTCCATCACAGATTAGTTTACTTTTTCCCAGTGCCATCTTCAATTTCTTTAAGCGGAAAAAAAGCGATATCCGTAATGTGGAATGCATTTTAGCTGGTTTAGGGAGAAAAAACAGCATTGGCTATACTGAAGGATGGTGCTTCATGAACTTTCCTGAGGCAGTTTCAAGCTAACTCAAAAGGAGGAAGAATGTCTCATCTGGGATTAATTTAAAGACAAGCTTTCTTCCCTGATGATAAACGACCTTTGCTGTGTATGTTTTCAATCACTTGCCTGCAATCACACTCATGGATATTTTCTTTTCTTTCCAGAAGGCCTCATTCCAGTTGTTACACGAATATTATGCCTACTAATTCAGCTGTAAATGCTGCAAACATTCATGGAAATAATGTTACACTTGTTTCTTCAACACCCGCCCACAAAAGTGTAGAATGTAAACTGCCCCCTCCTGCATACTTGTTTGAGGAACTTAGAAGAAAAGATCTGAACTTTGAACAATCTTAGCCTGCTTGCAGTGTGTCCTGGTATTATGTAGCCATTTTTTTCCAAGAAATTCCAGTTCAATGTATTTCAAACCTGTGACATGAGATAGTATAGGCCTGAATTTATATTTGACTGAGAAATTGCTGGGAAAAGATCTCAGCTTTAAATATTTAGTATTTAATAAGGAATCTGGTCTACACAGGTAAAACTCAGGGGCACTACTCTGTTTTGGATGGATGCGAGTGCACATTATTCAGTGTACAGCTATGTTAACAACTCCATGGGCTAGAAACTTTCACGATGATATTTTAGTTTTCTGTTTCAGGAGTTTAAAAACATAGAGATAATTAAAAAACCATTCCTCACCTGCAGTGTTATAGTTCATGTCCCCACATTTTATTGCCTCATTTATCAGCCTGGGGAACTGGGAGAAGCCGCATCCCAGACAGCTCAGATTTGCCCAGTTCACGAGCATGGCTAATAGACACAAAAGCTTTAAAAGACACAAATGGATCCTTTTAAAAGTGCATGACTTGTCCAGATATGGACACAAAGTCTGTCAAAGCACAGGTAGGTTCCCTCAGCCAGTGCAAGTCAAGCCTAGAGTTGATGAGAAATTAAGATAATGCTGCAACCCCAAGCATGCTTCCTCAAAAGATCACTCCACAAAAATCAACAGGATTAACTGCATGCCATGCCCTCTGCCGAGCGCCTTGCCCCAGAACTGCTTACAACCCCCTCCTCACCAATAAATCTGCCACCTTGAGGTTAAAGCATCATGCATCGGATGAGGGGGGGCAATGTCCACAATGCTTATGCCAGAACACATGAGTTCATCTTTGAGGCAGCAGTCTCAATGGCAAAGGGGGGAGTGTTGCAAAACTTACAGCGCAGTCCTATGGAGCGCGCCCGTGCTGTTCAAAAGCGGCCGAGCTTGAAAGCTTCTGCAATTTCCGGCCCTGCCAAGCAGAGCCGAAGGGAACAGAAAGGCCATCCTCGCCTACTCACGCTCCCTGGGAGGTGCTTTTCACTAAATGATGATGATTATTTAGCTCCTCTAGCAAGGGAGCTTTAGAGAAAGAAAAAAGGGGGCCGCGATCTTGTGTTCCAGCCTTGTTCACCTTCTGCACGTCATGCGTAATTCTGTGGACCCCCTTTGGAAGCATCGTCACGTGCAAAACGTCATTATTTTCCTCTTCTGCGGGTATTTTACACGGCAGCAAAAGCTCGCAGCATCTCTGAATGGAATTAGCTCTATCTGTGGCCTCCCCGCGCCAAAACACGCACGCGCGCGCGCATTCTGCGTGCCCATCCGTCTGCGGGCATCGCGCTTCGTCCGACCCGTCCCTCCTCGGGACTCTTGCAGCGAGCGCCCTTAGCATAACCCCTGAGGCGGCCGATCCGAGCGCGGCGTGGTCGCGCTGGGTATTTATAGCCGGCGGCGCGCCAGAGCCGCTTCCACGGCGCCGCGGCAGATTTCCCTTGCAAGCACGGCGAGCCGCGGGGAGGAGCCAGCGCCGGGGCGTGTGCGGGGCCGCTCGAGCGGCCGAGCTCCGCGGGCTATAATTCCACCTGCAGCCATTTGTCAAGGCGGCAGCGGGCAGGCGGCTGCGCGAGAGCCAGTGCGGGCAACGGCGGGCCACCGCGGCAAAGCGCCTCGCTCTGAGCCAGGGGGACGCACCGGTGATCGGCAGCACCAGCTGCGAAGGCGGCGGGATGGAGGAGGAGGGTAAAAAAAAAAAAAAAAGGCAACCTGGCCCGGCGGCTTTTCTTGCTTTCCTTGTATTATAACGGCGGCGCGCCTAAACGCTTAATTTAACGGTTTCTGCAGGGTGCATGAGGTGGTTGCCGGGCGCTCTGTGGAAACGGTTTCCTGGCAGCCCTGCCTTCTCTCTTGTGGGTTGGTGGTCTGGATTTCTGCCTTCTTTCTGAGGAGGCACCCCGGCTCTTGAGGAGGACGTGCCTTTTGGTGGAATGCAGAACTGCACCGGCTCAGGGCCACTGCTTTGTTCGGGGAGAGCCTTTTCCTCGCTTAGCTGGGCTTCAGAGGGGCTCTTTTAATCTGACCTTCGTTGCATTTAAGCAATGTGCTCCTTGCTCTGTTACCAGCCAGCATCCTCTGTTACTTTACTCAAAGCAAATGTGTAAGGGCTGGAGATGCAGTGGATAACTTTCTTTCGGAGAACTCTCAGAGGGGAGGCGGGGTGAGTCGGGAATCGCTCCCCACCAGTAGTGACTAAAGCTACTCCTATGCTTATCAGTTGTGACCATTCACTGCTTTTCCCAGTTTCAAAGGCAATGAGCTAGAAATACAAATGCTTTTACTACATCTCAGAGTGCATACATTTCCTTTACTAACTTCCATGCACAATTTAGTAAACAGACATTTTAAACACTGCTAACAAGAACCCTTAATGCTAACTTAGCAACATAATAAATCCCTGTATACTTTATTATCAGTTCTTTTTCCAAGGAGCTCTGGGTAGCATACATGGCTTTCCTCCTTTTTCTTAAAAAATTCTGTTAGTTAGATTCATCTGTAGGATAGGATCCAAGGGGGCACCCAGTGAAATGTGTGAAGATTCAAAGCGACATCTGTTCTGGATCTCTCCGGTACAGTATTTGCACTGCTTTTGTAAACCTTTACAATGACATGCCTTTCCTGCAAGACCCGGAGTAAGTGCCTGCATTAGCAAGGCATAGAACAGTGTTTCCAGATACAGAAACTAATACAACTGAATTCAATCATAATGTTTTAAATAAGCAGGATTTAGGACAGCTCTGCAGTTGACAGAAAGTAGTTCACAAAAAGCTGCCTCAAGTTAAGTCAAATAATTGGTGTGTCCAAGTCAATAGGGCTTTTCCCAACCCTATTTGGAGATGCTGAGACTGATCTTGTGAGCCTCTGCATTCAAGGAAGGAACTTTGCAACTGAGTTTTGACCCCTTCTCTGATTATAGTATACTCAGGGTTCCTGAAAAATCTTTTACATAAGGACTCCATTTTGTTGCCAAACAGGTATCCCTGTGTTTTCAAACATAAATACCTAGTTTAGATTTCTGGAAATTTCTTCCACGTACTTAAGGAGAAGAATATTTTCTGTGACCTGCACCTTGAAGAGTTCACTTCCCTGGCATTCCTTGGTTCATGTCCAAAGTGTATAGCACTTATGTAGTTAAAACATAATGTAGTCCTAAAGAACAAGATTGTTAAACAAGACTTAAAGTTTAACTAATTGATCCCATTGATTTCAACCATTACTTAAATTCAACTGCTTAATCTGTATCCAATCTATTATTTACAATGAGATTGCATGTTTTTATTATGTTACATTTATATCCCACCTTTTTTCCTCTAGCATGCAACCTGCAATTACTAACAAGATTTTCTCTTACCTTTTTTTCTTGCCAAAAACAACTCTGGGGAGTAGTTTAGACTGAAAGAGAGTGACTGGCCCAAATTCACCCTCTGAGCTTCATGGCCAAGTGGGATCTAGAACCAAGATCTCTTGAATCCCAGTCCCACACTTTTAACCACACTGGGTTTCTGAATGAAGCAAGCCAACTAATGAAAGTTAAAACTCAAACTAATATTATTGTCTGTCAAAGATTGCCCCTGACATAGTCCATTTCCATTTTGCCTGAAATGCAGACCAGTTTGGTGTCTCTGTTCCATGTGGAGAAGCCAACTAGGCTGGATCAGTAGCTGATCTTATTTCAGTACTAGCAGTGGAACAGCATCCTTCATTGCAGCCAAGGACAGCAGACCATCTTAGATGACAGAGATTAGGCTGGGTAATAAACACAGCTCTGTACTCCAGCATCTCACCACTGTTGCTTGTCCTTCGCCTTGTCTGAGGTGAACAGTTCATTCATTCTGCCTAATGGTAGGCCTGGCCCTGTGAAGAAAACACTTGATTCAGAAGTATATTGTATGTGAAGGGAGATAAATATGAAAGGAAGTTAATAAATAATAAAACCATGCTCCATTTAGTTCCTGATAGTGGTTGTGGTGCATCTGCTGCTTCCCTCAGTTTACAAGATGCATTGTGGTTTTTTAAATATCAGAAATGACACATAAGACTCCAGTTAGTCTCTGTAGCACTTGGCCATTAGGTCTTTGGTGCTGCAGTTTGAAAATACAAAGTCTAAAGCTCATCTGGGGTCGTCATAGAACTAGACAGAAACACCTATATATTCATTTTCCTCTCTTCACATTGGCATTTATCTTTTTTAAGAGTTCTTCAGTAAAATTATTATGTAAAATATTAGTTGGAAAGCAGTAGTGAACAAACTCTGTTGAAGATAGTTTCTCTACCATTACTGCCCTGCAATGTGCAGCCATTATTTGTTATTAAATAAACTGTTGGCATTTTCGTACTTCAGTCTTTAATGCATAGTGTAAAAACTTTTACTGAGATATAGATTCTATGAAAAGAGAAGAATATAGTCTAGATTGCTTAAAACAGGAAAAAATCTGGCACATAAGTTATAGCTTGTCTAATAAGCATGAAAAATTGAGTTAATGTGCAATAACGATCCCAATGCATTAATGTGATAGCAATTTTAGCAAGTTTAATTGACAAGATAGTTTAATGAAGTATAGGGTGTTAATTTGTCATTCATCATAAGCCTTACTAAGCACCATCTTGCTAACCATTGACTGAATCCTTAAAAAATGTGAAAAGAAGATTACTTTTTCTTGAGAAACTATTAACATTCCTATCATTGCTTCCACACATTTATTTTCCACTGATCAATAATACTGTTGAAAGGACATTGTCATTTATACGCTTTAGACCAACATTGCACAGCTTATAACCCACAAAGCCTAATGTAACCCATTAGATACGTGTAGACCATGGGCTTTAAAAACTGGCATTATTTTTGTGGTATTAGCAGGCAGCAAAAAAAAAAAAAAAAAAAGATTTAGCAGTGGGTCAAACTCAGTTTGATAGTTCACAGCTTTGTAGGTCCTCCTGACATTTTTTATGTATGCTTCATTCATGGTAATCCCAATCATAACACTTACTCTACACACCCACACACACACACACACACAATTTATAGCACTTAGTTCTACAGGGAACCACTTTGTGGAACAGATGGAGGGTGAAGTCCCCTTCTATCATTTCCTAAACTGGACTGCCAGAAAGTCCTGTGGTCAGTGCTCCCATTATATCCCTGTATTTTTATTTCATGTGGAAGGACTGCAAGATATTCTTCCAAGGGCCAGATTTGGCTCTGGGACCTCAAACTGCAGAATTCAAGCCCCATCTATAGTAAAGTTCAGGGTGTACATTGGTGGCATCCCTTTGGGATTTGTTGAACTGTCCAGTGGAGAGGAGCCATTCCTTTTCCTAATGGCAAAGTAGGGGCTGTTTAAGAATGTCAGAAACTGTATTAGTCTAAAAATACTGCTGCTAAGTTTGTAATTAGGAGACTGGACATTGCATCATCCCGGAGCTTACACAGCTGCTCTGGTTCTCTGTTTCTTTTTGGGCACAATTCAGGGTGCTTCTACTAAACTGGAAAACCTTACGTGGCCTGGAATGAAGGTATCTGAGAGATGTCACCACTGTATCTGCCTGCTGCTGTGTTAAAGTGAGGGCTTCTTCCAGGTGCTTCTGCTATCTGAGGTGGTGAAGTAGGTGGTAACATAATTTCTTCTTTGTTGACTCTGTGCATCTCACATATGGTCTCTGAATCTGTTAGGAAGATTTTCCAAGCTAGACTGGTTCCAGCGGGAGCCCCTTGTCCCTCCCCCAATATATCAAGGAAGAGCTCCTGCCATTTCCCCTAGTTCTCTTCCAATTGCTGTTGTGGGTGCCTCAGGTCTTTCCTCTTACAGTCTCTCAGTGTTTGTATAACTCTTTTTAAATCTTTCTTTTGATCTCTTTCTTTAACTCATTCCATTGTTTGTTCTCAAGCTTTTTTCAAAACCCCTGCTTTATCCCTTGTTATACTCTTCGGTTGTTCCCCCCCTCCCCAAACCCCCCCCCCTTTAACCTCCCTTCTATCATCATGTCTTCTCAGATTCTTCATCTTGCTTCATTTTTTGCTTTCTTTTTTTTCTGATAGGCACCTTTTTGGAAATGTGTCTGCAGTGGGAGTTGCTTGCCTCCCACAGATGGGCACTTGTTATGTCTCTTCTACTTGGGAGGGAAGTACCACATGGATGCCTGTGCACACAGGTGTTCACCTGGCAGGCCCAGAAAAAACTGGGCCAGTTCTGGGCTGATGACGCCACACCCCTTTGGCCATTGACTTGGCCACAGTGGTGTTGCTGGAACATCCGTCCACCTCATGGGTGCTTCCTTCGTCCCACCCTCCACTGGCAACTGTTGGGGCTCTATTTGCTGCCTTGTCCGTGCCACCCATGTCCAGGCACATGGAAGAGGAAAACTGGGCAAGGCAGCCAGCTAAGAAGACCAAGAAAATGGCAGAGGCACAGAAGGCCAAGCAGAATTAGCCTAGGCACCATTCTCCACTGGCACCATCTGTGCCTATGTCAATGCCAATACAGGTTCCTTTGACACCTAAACTGGCAGTTTGCCTGTTTAGTTCTGCCTAAATGGCAGAACTGGCAGGGACCCAGGCCTTTTCTAAAGAAGAGATCCGTGACTCATACTCCAGCCTGCCTGTGCTTGGTGATCTCCTCAATGAAAGTGCAGTTCTTTCCACATGTGTAGCAACACCTGTAATGCTGCCAGTAGGCCCAGCTGCTGGCCCTTCACCACAAGGGGCTGCATTCTTTTCTGTGCTGTCTTGTGCCTCCAGCCAAAGGAATGGTCCAGGTCTTTGCTACAGACCTGGGACCAGGAGGCCTATTGGATGTCACTTCACCACCATTGCCCTGTTACCGTGGCTATCTAGGGGAGGGACGTCCTGTTGATCCTTGGTTCCTGCAGTGGAGCTCCCTGGTCTCCTGTCCAGAGAAGTCCAAGATGCTGGTTCCAGCACCTCAGCCACTTACCCTGCTTTGTGTGCCCGCCTTGCGACCATGCCAGGTGTCACCATCTTTGGGCCTAGAGGACTACATCTTGGACTCAGATTTGCTGCTGCATGAAGAATTGCTGACCTGGTCTTCTGATGACATCATTTCAGCAAAGGGGCTGGGATTCCCCTCCAAAGACCTGGGATGTTTCTTTGAGCAGATCCTCCAGATGGTGGCATTGCTTGGTCTGGAGACACAGCAGTTCACTGAACTGACAGTGGATCCAGTCTGTGAAGTTGTCTGAATGGAGGTTGTGATGCCAGTGGCAATCCCATTCCTTCCAATGCTCCCTGGATCCATGAAGGAATCATGGAAGCTACTGACCCAGCTGCAGCCAACATCCCATTGCTTGGAAGGCAAGCACTGGGTCCAGGAGTGGGAGATCCCATTCCTTCTGCAACATCTGCATTCGAACTCAGTCATTATGGAATCACTGCAGGGTCAGGTATAGAAAGTGCCATGCGGAAGTCATGGCAAGGTGGATCTATGTGGCGGTGGTGCTGGGATTCTGTATCTCAAATTATGAGGCAGCCATGGGAAGATACCAACTCTTCCTGTGGGAGAAGATGGAGGCCCTCATGGAGTACCTTCCAATACTGAATAAGATCAATAATGCCTGCCACCATGTTGACTCTGACTTCTAGGTCCTCATTGACATGGTGGTGAGCCAGTGACTTGCCTTGCTCTAGGATCAAAGAACTGCTGTTTGATGGAGAGGACCTGTTCAATACCCATAAGAAGCTGGACACCATGCGTAAGGCCTGGATGTTGGACAAAAAGATGGGTTTGTACCCCTGCAGGAGCAGCAGAGGGCATGTAAGTGGACTGGGGGCCCCTTCCTATACCAGCCTGGGGTACAGTACTTCCTGACCACATGACAACAGCAGTCCATACAGCCATGTCAGAGGGACCCCATATCTCAGTTCTATCGGTTTCAAAAGCAGAGGCTGGACACTGAGAGGTGATGTTGCTGATTTGTGCAGCAAGCCAGCCCCTGTGCAGATCTGGTTTGAAGGCTGCCTTGACCACCTACTTTCCCACCTGGGAAGCTATAACATCAGATTGGTGGGTTCTCTCCATTGTGGAGAATGGATATTGCATTGAGGTTGATACCCTTCCACTGTATGGGTCCGTGCACTTAATACTGCCTTCTCCTGTGCTGGCTGAGGAAGTAGCCATACTGCTGATGAAGGGAGCAATCCAACCTGTTCCTTCATCCAAGCTCCATTATGGATTCTACTTATGGTACTTCATGGTACTGATGGAGGACAACAGTCTCAATCCCATCTTCAACTTCTTCGTCCCTCATAAGAAGTTCTCCATGGCAGGAGCTCCTCCTAGTTAGACCAGGGAAAGGGGGAAGGCACCTGCCAGAATGGGTTTAGCTTGGAAAATCTTCCTTGCAACAGGCTCCACACAGGTGCAGAGCCCATATGAGTGAATGCACAGATGAACACTTGAAGAACATCTGCTACAGGTAAGCAACCTTACTTAAGGAATCCCTCAGTGGTATCCTGACTGTGTTATGCTCTGGTCCATACTTTATTGTGCCAGGGGATAATCTTTTGTTTCTCAAACCTCTTTTACTCTCCTGTGTCTGAATCTAGTGTTTTTTGTGTGTCTTTTATTCACTATGTATTTGTAATATAATTTTCACAGTTTGTACGTTAATTTATTTTGTTGCAAACTACCCTAGGGAAAATATTTTGAAGGATGGGATTAATGATAAGGCCATTCAGGCAAATTTTGAACTAGAAAACATTCTTATGCAAATTAGTTGAATTTGCATTAGGTAACTTGTATCAGACATTTTTCAGGCTGTAAGGTGGGCAGTTGGGTGTCCTTCCAGACATTTTTGGACTTCAGTTCCCATCATCGACCTCATACCCAGTGGTGAGGGATAATAGCAATTGCACTCCAACAAATCTGGAAGGCTGCAAGTCATCTACATTTTCCTAGAGAGTGATTGAATTTAGCATTTATTTTACTTGTAAAACTATGTCCATGTTATCTTTCATGTTATTTGAACTGAAATACAGTGGTACCTCTCCTTCATGGTTCACTGCCTTGTCTTGGCTAAGGGGCTTGCGTAGCTCAATGAAGCTATGAGCTATGCCGTGCAGGGTCACCCAAGATGGACAGGTCATAGCAGAGAGCTCCGACAAAACGTGATCCACTGGAGAAGGAAATGGCAACCCACTCCAGTATCTTTGCCATGAAAACCCCATGGACACTACCAAAAGGCAAAAAGATATGACGCCGGAAGAGGAGCCTCTCAGGTCGGAAGGTGTCCAGTATGCTACTGGGGAAGAGCAGAGGGCTAGTACTAGTAGTGCCAGAAAGAATGAAGTGACTGGGTCAAAGCCGAAAGGACACTCGGTTGCTGATGTATCTGGTGGTGAAAGGAGAGTCCGATGCTGCAAAGATCTATACTCCATAGGAACCTGGAATGTAAGATCCATGAATCAAGGCAAGCTGGGTGTGGTCAAACAAGAGATGACAAGACTGAGCATCGACATCTTAGGAATCAGTGAACTAAAATGGACAGGGTGAATTTAATTCAGATGACCATCAGAGGTATACTACTGCGGGCAAGAATCCCTCAGAAGAAATGGAGTAGCCTTCATAGTCAATAAAAGAGTAGGAAAAGCAGTACTGGGATACAATCTCCAAACTGACAGAATGATCTCAGTTCGAATCCAAGGAAAACCATTCAGCATCACAATAGTTCAAGTCTATGCCCCAACCACTGGTACTGAAGAGGCTGAAGTTGACCGGTTCTATGAAGGCCTACAACACCTTCTAGCATTGACACCCAAAAATGATGTCGTTATCGTCATGGGGGATTGGAATGCTAAAGTAGGAAGCCAAAAGATAACCGGAATAACAGGCAAGTTTGGCCTTGGAGTACAAAATGAAGCAGGGCACAGGCTAGTAGAATTTTGTCAAGAGAATTCGATGGTCATAGCAAACACTCTTTTCCAGCAACCCAAGAGATGACTCGACACATGGACATCACCAGACGGTCAACACAGAAATCAGATTGACTATGTGCTCTGCAGCCAAAGATGGAGAAGCTCTATACAGTCAGTAAAAACTAGACCAGGAGCTGACTGTGGCTCAGATCATGAGCTTCTGGTTGCAAAATTTAGGCTTAAATTGAAGAAAGTAGGGAAAAGCACTATGCCACTCAGGTATGACCTAAATCATATCCCTGATGAATATACAGTAGAGGTGACAAGTAGATTTAAGGAATTAGATCTGATAGACAGAGTGCCTGAAGAAGTATGGACGGAAGTTCGCAACATTGTACAAGAGGTTGCAACTAAAACCATCCCAAAGAAAAAGAAATGCAAGAAAGCAAAATGGCTGTCTGAGGAAGCTTTACAAATAGCTGAGGAAAGAAGGGAAACAAAAGGCAAGGGAGACAGAGAAAGATACAAACAATTGAATGCAGAATTCCAGAGAATAGCTAGAAGAGATGAGAATGCCTTCTTAAATGAACAGTGCAAAGAAATAGAAGAAAACAATAGAATAAGGAGGACCAGAGATCTCTTCAAG